ACCAATGAAAACTTCGTCAAAATATTTCTAAAAAAATGTTTTTTTTTGTGTGTATAAGCGTTTCTTAGCCAATTTCAGCCAAGTTACTTCTGGATAGATCATTCATTAAAACAATTCATTTTTGACATGTCCAAATTCAATCAATCTAACCTGCTCATTTGATATAAGTAGATTTGACCAATTAATTACAAGCTTAACCAAACGCCCTCTAAGCTACTTATTATGAATCACTACCTGAATTATCTAGATGATTTGATATTATACAAATTCTCATACTACGTGTCCATGAATATAAAGAAGTTAAAACACTTTTTTTTAAAAAAAATTAAAACATTTGTCACACTTCCACATTTCTTGCCAATAGGCCTATTCTTGATGTTGCACCTTTTAGGAATAATAACAGCAATAGCAGGATTAGCTCCAGCATTTTTGGCTATTGGTGACAATATTGCAGCACATAAGACACTTTGGTGAAGTCTTTAACTTTGCCACAACATATTGGAGGGACTTTGGCCTTAGCATTTTTGGCTGCAATAATCTAAATGTTAAGGATACAATATATAATTTTGCATCATTTTATATCTTTTTATTTTATATTTTTTAATATTTTATATTTTGTTACTTTTAAAACTGTTAGGACCGAAAATAAGCAGGTGTAAATGCGGAAGCTAACAAAGCAAACCTCAAAAGACCACGAGTAATAAGACAACGAGAAATATACCAAAAGACACAAAAATTTAACGTGGTTCGGTCAATCGACCTACGTCTACAAAGGAGATGAGCAATCCACTATAAATATGAGAGTACAAAATAAAGAGGAAAACAACCTCAACTAATTCACTCAGAATACATGAGAGGTTCACACAAGTGATAACGTATCAAACTTGTGACCCACAAATTCTCCCTCTAACCAAAACTCTCAAAGCCCTTAAGACTACATTGTAAATGCTGATTAAGTTAGAAGGAACATGCCTCTATTTATAGAGTCCTAAACCTTTTCCTACCAAAAAAAGATTAGTCAATTCAAAACCTTTTCCTAAGAGGAAAACCTATTTATGGTAAGAAATCAGGCAAATAAAACCCAACAAATCTCCCCCTTGGCCTGAATTTCTGACAAAATAAATTTGTCCACCTTCTTCACTTAATCTTCAACAACTTGCTTCTCTTCTCCATAATTTCCTTTGCAAAATTTATGTCTCAACACAAAGAATCTCTCTGAAACAATTTCTCCAACAAAATCTTCATTACTGTCAAAAAGGTTACTGTTAGAACTGCACCGCCAAGATGAACACATCTTTCTAACCTGATTCAATCATCGATTATCGAACCATTGAACCTGACTCCGTCATTGAATCTGGCTCTGATACCACTTGTTAGGACCGAAAATAAGCAGGTGTAAATGCGGAACCTAGCAAAGCAAACCTCGAAAGACCACGAGTAAGAAGACAACGAGAAATATACCAAAAGACACAAAGATTTAACGTGGTTCGGTCAATCGACCTACGTCAACAAAGGAGATGAGCAATCCACTATAAATATGAGAGTACAAAATACAGAGGGAAACAACCTCAACCAATTCACTCAGAATACATGGGAGGTTCACACAAGTGATAACGTATCAAACTTGTGACCCACAAATTCTCCCTTTAACCAAAACTCTCAAAGCCCTTAAGACTACACTGTGAATGCTGATTAAGTTAGAAGGAACATGCCTCTATTTATAGAGTCCTAAACCTTTTCCTACCAAAAAAAGATTAGTCAATTCAAAACCTTTTCCTAAGAGGAAAACCTATTTATGGTAAGAAATCAGGGCAAATAAAACCCAACAAAAACTAACTTCAACATTAAGTATACATTTTCTAATCAAACAAGGCAACAATGATTTGCTAAACATAAATCTCAATCTTTATTGAACAAAATAAACAATAATTATTTTTCACCTAATAAATTTACTTTTATTTGCAAAGAGATATAACATTGAACATATCATAATTATTACATCAAATTTCATAAATTAATTAATAGGATAAAATAATATGAAATACCATAATATTTTGATCGAAGCTCGATTAAACGCTCACAAAGCTTTTACTTGGTGGTTTATGATGATGTATATGTTGTGTTTTTAAAATAATAATGAAAAAAAAAGAATGTCTTGGTAAATTTTTAAAGGATAATGAAATAAAATGGAAAAGTTTTTCTTCTTTATTTTTTCTTCAGTCTCCTGTTTCTTCCTTTGATTTTTTGTGTTTTTGTTCGTGTTCCTTTTTCTTGGCTGATTATTGTATGTGTATTTTTCTGTGTTGTGTGTCGTGTATGTATAAGGGAAAAGTGGGTAGAGGTTTAGGGAAAATGGGGGATATGGGATAGGAGTAGGTGTAGGTGGGTTGGGGTAATGGGAGATGGGTAGGTTATTTTTATTTTTTGTTGTTAATAAATTTAAATATAAGAATAATAATATTAACTAATTAATTTGAAATTAATAAAAATACAGAAAAATTAAATAGCTAGATAAAAAAAATTAATATCACTAATTCATAATTAAATCTTTGAACAAAATAAAAGTAAATGTACCTTAAAGTGTGATTTAATTTTTAAGTTTTCATATATTTTTTTTAAAAAAAAGATAAGATAAAAAAGAAATTTTATTTAGATTTTTAAAAAATATTTAAATCTTATGTTGGATCAAAAATTACGTATCTATATATTACATATATAAAAAATAATATTATGCATATCAATCAAAAATGACTTTTTAAAAATTACATTAAATTTTCTTAACACTCTTTAAAAAAATTTGACTTCATCACCGAGGAAGGATCTAATCTTTTATATTGTGGATGAGTCTCTGGTGTGAACTTGAATTTGTGAAAATGGCATGAAATTACTTTTTGCTTAGTGGGGTGGTTGAAGCTAAATGTGATCATAGTGTTGTAATGATTTGCTTTATAAAAACTTGACACATTTCTATATATATATATATATATATATATATATATATATATATAGTAA